TTTGTTTGTTTGTTTGTTTCTTTGTTTTTTCTCTATAAGCTCTTGTCATTTACAAACAGGGACAATTTCACTTTTTCTTCTCTGATTTGATGTCTTTTATTTCTTTTTCTTGCTGAATTGCTCTAACTAGTTCTTGAAGTATTATGTCGAATAGAGGTGGTTGGAGTGGGCATCTTTGCCTTGTTCCTTATCCTAAACGAAAAGTTTTCAGTTTTTCACCATTGAATATAATGTTAGCTGTGAGATTTTCATATGTGGCCTTTATTATGTTGATGTAACTTTCTGCTATTCCTAGTGTGCTGAGAGTTTTTAATCATAAAAAGGTGTTGAATTTTGTCAAACAATTTTTGTTCATCTATTGAGATAATCAAGAGATTTTTAATATTCATTTTGTTAATGAGATGTGTTACATTAATTGATTTTCATATGTTGAATCATGTTTGCATCCCAGAGATGAATCCCAGTTGGTCATGGTATATGAACCATTTAATATGTTGTTGAACTCAGTTTGTTGGCATTTTATTGAGGAGTTTTGCATTTATATTCATCAGGTATATCGGCCTCTACTTATCTTTTCTTGGGATATCTTTGTCTGTCTTTGATATCAGAGTAATGCAGGCCTCATAAAATGAGTTTTAAGGTGTTATCTACTATTTAGTTTTTTGGAAGAGTTTGAGAAGGATTGGCATTAATCCTTCCTTAAATATTGGTAGAATTTGCTACTGAACTATCTGTTCCTGGGCTTTCTTTTGTTAGTTGTTTTTTGTATTTTGTTGTTGGGAGGTTTTTCCTTACTTGATTCAATCTCCTTACTAGTTATTGGTCGGTTCAGACTTTCTATTTCTTCATGATTCAGTCTTGGTAGGTTATGTGTGTCTAGGAATTTATTTATTTCTTTTAGGATTCCTAGTTTGTTGGCATACAATGTTTCATAGTTGTCTCTTATGAACTCTTNCTCTTTTTTCTTAGTCTAGATTAAAGTTTGTCAATATTTTCTTCAAAAAATCACCTCAGTTTCATTGATTTTTTTTTCTGTTTTTCTATTCTGTGCTTTGTTATTTTTGCTCTAATTTTTAATATTTCCTTTCTTCTACTAAGTTGGGCTTAGCTTGTGCTTCCTCTACTTCCTTCAGGTGTTAGTTAGGTTATTTGTGATCTTTCTTCTTCTTTAATGTAGCTATACATTTCCTTCATAGTACTGCTTTTGTTGGATCTCATAAGTTTTGATATGTTGTACTTGCATTTTCATTTGTCTCAAGATGTCTTTTAAGTTATTTTTTGATTTCTTCTTTGATGTATTGGTTGTACAAATATGTGTTGTTTAATTTCCACATATTTATAAATCTTGTAACTTTTCTTCTGCTATAGATTTCTAGTTTCATTCCATTGCAGTTGGAGATTATACGTGGTATAATTTCAGTCTTCTTAAATTTATTAACATTTGTTTTGTGG